ATGATGCAGAATTTATCTGCCCTGGATGGATAACTCCCATGTTATCATATTTTTAAATCACTTCATTATAAACACTGAACAAGCTGAACATAATTGTCTAACCAGTGTTTTCCATGATGACAGACTTTCCTGAGAAATTAAGTATGTTTACTCATGCACATACTTAGTGCTGTGGAGCAGTTTTTCTTTCACTGTTCTCCATCCTCTCAGGGAGTTCATAGAAGGACTGGCAGATCTAGGCCAATGAGCATGAGATAACTGTCAGGAAGCTGAACAGCTAGCTAGCTGAACTCACAAAAGCGTTGAGACAGCTGAAAAATGTGAGACAGACTGGCTGGGGAAAAAGCAGGACACATAATTGAGTGTGGGCATTCCAGTTCCCCTGGGGCAGGAGATTACAAGGAAAAGGGAGTTTGGGTAGACTTACTGGCCAGAATTAAACAGATGTGCAGTAACATGTCTTGCAGTGCATTCTGCATGGTAACTGCAATGTGTTTTGTACACCAATTACAGAGGTCATCTACTTGATAAACAGTCAATGTTAGAGTAAGAATTCATGAAAACAGACAAAGCTGAAGATCTTAACAGTGCTTAATAAGTAAAAGGTATGTATGTTTGGAGCAGAAATATATTTTCTTTTATTTGGGTCCAACACAGTCTGGAATAAAATCAGATACATAATCCTTCCCAAACAGATAGCGAACAGAAGTGTTCAAACATCCTTCTGGCCAATGTCAATCGTGTCATCACTTCAGTAGAATTAGGAGAAGCAGCAGGACCATTCTTTTGAATTCTAGCTCATTGGGATGCCTGGTCAACCTGAAGAGAAGAACTGTGAGAGAATCAAAGTCCCACCCCAGTCCTCATAAAAAGCAAGTTTTTTAATCTCATCTCCTTAATCTGTTCTTAATATGATTTTTTTTCCTATAAATCAAGGTCTTTGTGGAAGTTTGGGGATAAGAATGGTGTAAATACACGTTTCTCAAAAGGCTCACAGAAAGCTACTGAAAAAGGAGAAATCTGATATATAAGCCTTCCAATATGGTGAACCATTTAACATGGACCATGAAAAATACATAAATTCCATTAATTCCTCCTTCTATGTACCTTCTGAAACAATTTAATTTAATCACAGATTATTTTCCTGTGTACAGAGAGTAGGGATATTGAAAAACAAAGAGAAAGTACTGGACCATTGTAAGTCAACCCAGATAATTGAAAGCACTGTTCAACAATAAAAATTCCTGAGCTTCTACACCACAGAGCTGTAAGCTCATCCAGAGATG